ACAGACATGTACTGATACTTCACTGTGTCCTGCTTACTCTTGACACCTTTTGACTCCATTTCTGTTTCTCTCCTTGTTCTCACAGGTGACTACAGAAGACTTCACATTACAAAAGACTTCGTACCCCACATATTCAGGTAAGTGACTTTCTGGTTGGGGAGGTTTCCAGATAAAGGTTTAGGCAGGGGGTTGGCTACTCTTTTCTGGGTTGCTGTAAAAATCCCAATGACTGGATTCTTCTTTTTGCTTTTGTTTTGGTTTCTTATCTGTGTTATCCTTCTGTCGTAGTTTTATTTATATCTGTATGTGTCTATACATGCATGCTGTAATGTAGTGTTACCTAAAGTATATGCATTGTTATAACAGTATTACATCAAGGAATGATACACGCATGGGAATGCTGTAGGAATATTTATACTATGTACTGAGGTGTGCACGGAATCTAAATCCTACCTCTAGGATACAGGTTGCCCACAGGGAGGGATGCTGGGCGCATGGCAGATAACAAGTGTGTCTGTAATACATATCTTTCAAAAATAAATTAAAAAAAATAAAATACAGTAGGGAAAATGGCGTTACTCTGGCCTTTTTTGTCTCCCGCTGCCAGCCTCTGTGGCTGCCAACTGTGGCCTTTCTTTCCTCCCAGGGTTCACTGTTCACGTGTGATATTGTGTTTGTGCAAAAAGCTCTTAGGTGCATGAGCACGGGGCATGCTGGGATGCCCAAGGCAAAGCCGTGTGGGCCCAGGGTGAGTGCACTTGTGATTAGGGACACTTAGACCAAGAAGCTGGAGAGCATGGATATGTGTGACTATAAATACAGATGCCCGGGCTGAAATACAATGACAATATTAGGAGAGGGTGCTATAGAGAGAATGCTGGAGAGAAGAGAGAAAGGAGGGGGAGGGGAGCGGACAGGAGTGGGGGAGGGAGGAAGGAGGGGAGAGGAGGAAAGAAAGAACTGTTGGGGGTGTGGAGGGGGACTGGAGGGGCTTCCTGTCCCAGCCCCTCCCACTCCTTTGCCTCCTGTCTTTCCAGCCCACCTCATGTCTGGTTGTCTCTACAGATGGTTTAAGTTGTTAGGATTTGATGCAGATGGAAAGAGGACATGGCAAATACCTTTCACACCTAAAGCAATAGTTCTTGCAAATAGTTCTTTCCTATCAAAACTTCAGTCAGTGCTCAATATTCCCATTGCAGGGACAGATACTATAAAAACCGATCTCTTAGGGCTGTCATGTTCAACCTGATGACCAGTTCTTCAGGCTGGTATACTTTAAAGCTGTGAAGAGAGTAGCCCTTTTCTCATTTTTCTCTTTTCGTGTCCTTTTGAGATGATCGATGTTAACTGTGCTCACTGTGACAATCACTTCACAATATGTGTAAGTCACGTTTTTATGCTGTGCCCCTGAACCTTCTGAAGTCCTGTTAATTCTATCTCAGTAAAACTGGGGGAAAAAAAAAACAATTAGAAGTAAATCTCTTTGGCATTTCAGGTGTTTGGAGGTGCTGGAAGTTTCGCCAGAGTGGTGGTTCTCAAAGTGTGGTCTTGAGATGTACAGCATTGGTGTTCCCTGGTGATGTGCTATAAATGCAAAGAGTTGGGGCTTACCACAGATGACTGAGTCTGAAGAGACACTGGGAGTGTAGTGTTCTAACAAATACTCATTGTGATGCTAATGGATGGTAGAGTTAAGAGAACCACTGTCTAAAGCCCTCCTCCCTTAATTGTATGTTCTCTGTAGATCTTGTTTCATGTGTCATGCAGCAACATATCCCAAAATGCCCAATGTACCCACCATGGAGCATTTACACTTGCACCACTGCTGTGCCGCCATCACAGGCTGGGTAGGCTCATTGTTCATCCTGGCAGATGAAAGGAGGATGTTTGTGCTTTCCACATCTCTCACTTAGCTTTAATGGTGAAGCAGGAGGCATCGGTGCATGCCCTCTGCTCGCACTCCCAAGCGCCTCTTGCACCAACATGAAATCACATGTGGGTAATGCAGCCTGTGAGGGAAGCAGAGGCTTAAGTGATGGTCACAGAGATGGGCAGCAGGTGGAGAGAAAGAGCTCGAGCAACTGTATTTTCCTGAGGATTGCCTTGCTATAGTGAGAAATCATATTTGGGTTTTCTTTTTTTTCAATATTTATTTATTTATTTATGTATACAGAACTGGAGTACAGGCCAGAGGGACAGGGGCTGTGAGAGGATTCACCAGAGGCAGAGTGGGGAGCAGAACAAGCGGACTGAAGAAGTACACTGCTGAGGGGAGCAGCAGGCTGGTCAGGAGAAGTCTGCTGCCTCATGGGATCACCTCCTGGGTGGTGATCGAACTCGCAGTGAAGTGGCTGCGGCTAGCTTGCAGTGCTGTATCCTAACCCATTGCGTCACCAGGGAGGGTCCTGCATATTTTGGTTTTCTTCAGGCTTTTGGGCACAGAGCTCCTAACACCCTTGTCGTTTCTTTAATTGTAGGAGTCTCTATAGTTTCAAATGTTGGCTATTGTCTCCAGCTCTATCAGGATAAAGGTGAAGGGACTTAATCTTAATCCAAACAAGCCCTTTATGGGAACCCAGGGGGAAAAAAAGAATAACAATAAATACAAGAAAATTAACAGGCAACTAACTATAAATCAGAGGCATTCATCAGGGAAAGGGGAAGGAGAGGAATCAAAACAGGGGAGGGGCAAACACAAGGGACTGTGATGATGCAGTGATGACTTGGTGGTGGGAATTCTACGGGGACTCCACCTGAGAGGAGGAAGCAAACATTGATGAAAATGAGCAGTGTTCTGAGATATATATATATATATATATCTTTCAAATACAACTGAGTTCACATTAATATGTCATTTTTGGAAATCCTCTAAATATAGGGGCGGGTACCAGAGGTACCAGAGATTGGCACCTTTAGCCCCATCCCTGACCTCCTGGGAGGGGAGAGGAGCAGGGGGCTGAAGTAATCACCAGTGGCCAATTATTTGATGAAGCATGCAATCTCCACTTAAACCGGTGTGGAGGGATTCGGAAAGCTTCCGGTCGGGCTTCCGGTCGGGCTTCCGGTCGGGCTTCCGGTCGGGCTTCCGGTCGGGCTTCCGGTCGCACTTCCGGTCGCACTTCCGGAGGCGCTGGATAAGCCACTGTCCTGCAGTAAGGGAGCGAAAGCTTGGCGAGACTTGCCCCATGCGTCACTACTCTGTGGCTTTTCCTTTCGAGCACGTTGGTAACTGGTAAGTGAAGGATTTTCCTGAATTCTCGGAGCTTTTGTAGTGAGTTTCTGAAGCTGAAGAAGGGGTTGTGGGAACTCCTGATTTGTAGCGAATTGCCAGGCCTGCTGCAGTCCGAATTTGCAGTTGAAATGAGGGCGGTCTTGGGGGGCTGAATCTACATCAGTGAGGTGTGTACTAACTTTGGGCCGTTGGTGTCAGAATTGAACTGAATTGAGGAAACCCGCGCTCGTGTCTGTGGAGAACTGCTTGGTGTGGAAAAACTCCACATACACTGGCTGTTAGGTTGTATTAGTAGAGAAAAACCAGGGTTTTCTTGCTTTTGGTGACTCCAGGTGATGGAATCAGGCTTTTCATTGCCTTCTAGGGACTGCCCCTGACCTTCCACTCTGGTTGTAGAGGGCCTCAAACTCGGGCAACTTTCACCTGAGGAAGCCTGTGTGGTAGCAGGAAGTGGAGGAAAAGGCCAGGATTTTCTGGGACAGGACAGAGTGCAAATAGAGATTACATTTTTTTCTTAAGAGTGTTTATTGAACACAGTAATAGTTGTTTTTTTTTTTTAAGATTTATTTATGCTTACAGAACTGGGGTACAGGGCAGAGGTATGGTGGATGAGAGGATTCACCAGAGACAGATCAAGGAGCAGTACAGGCCCTCTGACCAAGTACACTGCTGAGGGGAGCAGTGGGCGTGTCAGGAGAGGTCTGTTGTGCCATGTGGGTCACCCCCTGGCTGGGGATTGAACTTGTGCTGCAGTGGCTTTGGAGAGCTTCATAACGCAGTGCTTTAAGCCGCTGCACCACCAGGGAGGGCCCAGGAAAAGGTTTTTAAAGCACCATTATTTCTAAAGTTGTGGTTCTCTACTGCTGCATGCAAAGTGGAGACACTGGGAGACGTTTAAAAAACTCTGATTCCTTTGGCTTCACCCCAAGATTCTAGTCTCAGCTGAACTGGAGGGTGGCTCCCGACCTCATCAGCATGACATGAAGGCTCTCCAGCTGATTCTAATTACAGTCATGGTTCAGAACAACTGGGAGAGACTGGTGTTTGGTTTGGAATCAAGATGAGAAATACAATGAAAATATCCTGGGAGAGTGTTGTCTTGAGGGACTGTTCCCTCCAAGGGGCATGTGCTTTGCAAACTGGACCTGCAGCTATTAGTCAACTGATTGGGGGAGTGTTTTTCTGCCAGATCTAGCTCTTTTTAAAATTAGTTTAGTTTTCCCCTGGTACCAACCTATTACGTAATTCCAGCCGAGTTGTTATAGGTAAGGGGGCTGAACTGCAGGTTGTGTTACCTGTTTCTTGGGGAACAGTATCTTGGGGAACATGAAGATACCTTCCTTTCTTTTCTGTTACTCTCTTTTTGCAAGTGGATAAAGCTCCAGGAAACTGAGAGACTTATCTGCTGTGTGAGAGGGCATTTTAATTTCTCTAATACTATCCATGGAACCAGACCCTTCCCTGTAGTCCCCAAAGTTATGGAAAGGAAAGATTGAGCTGTATTTGTTGGTGGAGTGTTGAAATATTCCATGGAAAAAGGAAAGAGAAACAAGTTCTACCACTGATTTTCTTGGCAGGGTTTATGACCTTTCCCCCTCAAATTTCTGGCAAGTGTGATTAGAAATTGACTCCCAAGACTTGCTCACATGATCTGTTCAAGACATCTCTTGCATGCTGCTCATCAGCAGTAGTTAATTTGCTATCTCTCACACGTGTTATCCAAAAATCACAGAACTCATTAGAAAACAAGCAGCATGAACTTGGTCGGTCATATTTGGAGGATTAGCCAGATGTAAATCTGAGTTGCACTTGGGAGGTTTTGTGTTCCTCATTTAAAAATAAATAGGACTCCAGCCTTAAGTAGAAACAGATTTTTTTTTTTAAATGCAGTATCTTACTGGAAAACAAATTTTATTTTTCCAATAAAAAATATAGGGAGGAGGTAAGCTTTGCTTGATGCCAGTGATTATTTTATTTCATGCCCTTTCATTTTTTCTTGCTGATGGCAGATGGGACAGAAATAAAGACTCAATTTCATTGTCCAAAATGGGGGAAAAATGTAATTGAATCAGGAATTTGTTCTTAATGGGTTGCAGACATTTAAAACCTGATTGGTCACAGTCAACTGTTTGATGCGCTTTTTAGGAAAAAAATGTATTTTCTGTATTTCCCCAACCATTTTGAGTGCATTGTTACCCTACAGGTCATTGGGAAGGGGTTCTGTCTGAGGCTTTGGGTTCTTAGATTTTTTTATAACAGGTTACTAAGAGAAACTGAAAGTTGTTTTTCATGGAATCACAATATGATTTATGTGATTAGATAATTTGTCTTTTGTTGATATACGAACTTGCTGCTAGCAATATACCAGATAGTCATATGCCACCTGTTTTTAATTCCAACAAAACCTATAATCAGAATGGAAAAAAAAATGCCTTACCTTTGAAGAATCAGAAAAAAAATTAAGTCTATTAACTTATTGTGTTTGTCTTCCAGATCATACAAAATCAGGAGTATTCAGATGCCAAAGGGTTCATTCTTCCGGGGAGAGATTATGTTTCGTGCAGACACATGCCTTTAGTTAAAGATATGCTAGGGATTTCCCATGAGCTGATTTTGGTCATCTCTATTCTTAGTAATCCTCAGATTTAAGAACCCTACAAAACACCACCTTCTGTTTTCTATTTTTAAAAATTCATTTGTTTTCTATTTTTAGAAATTCATTTTTTATTTTTTTAAGTAGTATTATTTGTAAAAATTTATTTACGCATACAAGAGCCAGAGTGTAGACCATTGGTATGGGAAGATGAGGGGATTCGCAGGAGATAGAGTGGGGAGCAGAACAGGTGGATGGACTTTAACACAATGCTGAGAGGAGCAGCAGGTGAGACAGGAAAGTCTGGCTGGGGATTGAACTCAGGCCTCAGATGTTGGTGATAGCTTGATAGCACTGACTTCAACCTCCCTTTACCACTGGGGTGGGGGTGGGGACTATTTTTTTTTTTAATAAAAATAATTATTTGCAACCTGTTATTAAAAAAAAAAAAAAACTGCTTTGTTGAAACCAGTGCAGGACTTTCCATGGTCCATATTTAGGCCCCTGAAATCATTCATCTTCTATTCCTCTTCAATTCTGACATCAAATTTGCAATGCTCACTGCAGCTGTTTTATTTGTCTAGTAGCTTTATTAGGTGTTGGAAAAGACATAGATGGGTAGTTGTGGAGGCAGACTGTTCAGGATTCAGTTCAGGATGTGTCTGTTATTGTTTGAGAGTCTCTGTCACTGAAGGTGTGGCACTTGGGAGGTGGTTGTGAAGTACAGTTATTTGCTGGCCTTCCCTGCTTCTGAAGACCTGCGCTCCTCCTATAAGACCTTTGGTAGCAAGGTACTGTAGTCTCAGCTTACAAACAGTACTGCAAGGAAGGGTAAAGGAAGGATAAAATAAAGTTCTAGGAGAGAAGGGTCCTATCCACACTGACGTCAGGTTTGTGAGATCTGAGAAGTGGATTCTGAAGTGGCGGGTCCAGACAGCTTCTGCTTTCCTATGATCTAATTAAATATTTTCACTTAAAAAGGATAACCCTGTTAGATCGTAATGGGATTAACCTAACTGAAATTTATTGGGCTTTGCTTTGACAGTAAAGATTATGGATGGCTCACGTTCCATTCCTTTTTTTTTTTTGGTAGCTTTAGATCCCGTAATTTTGGCTTTGGCTGTTCTGGTGAAGATTCTAGAGTAAAACAAAACTTGTGTAGGATATTATTGAGTCTTGGACTATGAATAGGATTGAATATTTAAAAATGATTTTGGGTTGGGTTAGCTTTTATTTTCACACTAACATGAAGTTTAGTTAAATGGTCATTTTTTTTTCTTAAAGTGTTGATAGTGAGACTCTCTTGCTCAGAATTACCTGTGCAAACAGTTCTTTGCTTGAAGTGCATTGATAACTTGCTGCTCCATTTCCTATGTATGTTTTGAAGGAGCAAAATATTTTTTAATTGCAATGAGCTGTCATGTTAACCATGTTGAATGTATACAGTTCAGTGATTATTAAGTACACTCATATTATTGCACTACCATCATCATATCTATCCCCAGAACTTTTCATTTTCTCAAACTGAAACTCTGCACCAATTAAATGTGAATTGCATATTATGCTCTTCCATCCCCATTCTTTTTCTAAGAGGCTTACTTATATGAGTAGATTATATGCAACTAGTGTATTTGCTTAACATAATTTTACCAAGGTTTGTCCATATTGTACCACATGTCACAATAATCTTCCTTTTCAGGACTGAATTGTATTCCATTAT